AGACCAGAGAGAGACCAGAGAGAGAGACCAGAGAGTGAGACCAGAGAGAGACCAGAGAAAGACCAGAGAAAGACCAGAGAGAGACCAGAGAGAGACCAGAGAGAGACCAGAGAGAGACCAGAGAGAGAGACCAGAGAGAGACAAGAGAGAGACCAGAGTGAAACCAGAGAGAGAGACCAGAGAGAGAGACCAGAGAGAGACCAGACAGAGAGACCAGAGAGAGACCAGAGTGAGACCAGACAGAGAGACCAGAGAGAGACCAGAGAGAGAGACCAGAGAGAGTGACCAGAGAGAGACCAGAGAGAGACCAGAGAGAGACCAGAGAGAGACCAGACAGAGAGACCAGAGAGAGACCAGAGAGAGAGACCAGAGAGAGAGACCAGAGAGAGACCAGAGAGAGGGACCAGAGAGAGACCAGAGAGAGACCAGAGAGAGAAACCAGAGAGAGAGACCAGAGAGAGAGACCAGAGAGAGACCAGAGAGAGAGACCAGAGAGAGAGACCAGAGAGAGACCAGAGAAAGACCAGAGAAAGACCAGAGAGAGACCAGAGAGAGACCAGAGAGAGACCAGAGAGAGAGACCAGAGAGAGAAACCAGAGAGAGAGACCAGAGAGAGAGACCAGAGAGAGAGACCAGAGAGAGACCTGATAAAGACCAGAGCGAGACCTGAGAGAGACCAGAGAGAGAGACCAGAGAGAGACCAGAGAGCGAGACCAGAGAGAGACCAGAGAGAGACCAGAGAGAGACCAGAGAGAGAGACCAGAGAGAGACCAGAGAGACCAGAGAGAGACCAGAGAGAGAGAGACCGGAGAGAGACCAGAGAGAGACCAGAGAGAGACCAGAGAGAGACCAGAGAGAGACCAGAGAGAGACCAGAGAGAGAGACCAGAGAGAGAGACCAGAGAGAGACCAGAGAGAGACCAAAGAGAGACCAGAGAGAGACCAGTGAGAGACCAGAGAGAGACCAGAGAGAGACCAGAGAGAGACCAGAGAGAGAGACCAGAGAGAGACAAGAGAGAGACCAGAGTGAAACCAGAGAGAGAGACCAGAGAGAGAGACCAGAGAGAGACCAGACAGAGAGACCAGAGAGAGACCAGAGTGAGAGACCAGAGAGAGTGACCAGAGAGAGACCAGAGAGAGACCAGAGAGAGACCAGACAGAGAGACCAGAGAGAGACCAGAGTGAGACACCAGAGTGAGTGACCAGAGAGAGACCAGAGAGAGGGACCAGAGAGAGACCAGAGAGAGACCAGAGAGAGAAACCAGAGAGAGAGACCAGAGAGAGAGACCAGAGAGAGACCAGAGAGAGAGACCAGAGAGTGAGACCAGAGAGAGACCAGAGAAAGACCAGAGAAAGACCAGAGAGAGACCAGAGAGAGACCAGAGAGAGACCAGAGAGAGAGACCAGAGAGAGAAACCAGAGAGAGAGACAAGAGAGAGACCAGAGAGAGACCTGATAAAGACCAGAGCGAGACCTGAGAGAGACCAGAGAGAGAGACCAGAGAGAGACCAGAGAGCGAGACCAGAGAGAGACCAGAGAGAGACCAGAGAGAGACCAGAGAGAGAGACCAGAGAGAGAGACCAGAGAGAGAGACCAGAGAGAGAGACCAGAGAGAGACAAGAGAGAGACCAGAGTGAAACCAGAGAGAGAGACCAGAGAGAGAGACCAGAGAGAGACCAGACAGAGAGACCAGAGAGAGACCAGAGTGAGAGACCAGAGAGAGTGACCAGAGAGAGACCAGAGAGAGACCAGAGAGAGACCAGAGAGAGACCAGACAGAGAGACCAGAGAGAGACCAGAGTGAGAGACCAGAGAGAGTGACCAGAGAGAGACCAGAGAGAGGGACCAGAGAGAGACCAGAGAGAGACCAGAGAGAGAAACCAGAGAGAGAGACCAGAGAGAGAGACCAGAGAGAGACAGAGACCAGAGAGAGAGACCAGAGAGAGACCAGAGAGAGACCAGAGAGAGAGACCAGAGAGAGAAACCAGAGAGAGAGACAAGAGAGAGACCAGAGAGAGACCTGATAAAGACCAGAGCGAGACCTGAGAGAGACCAGAGAGAGAGACCAGAGAGAGACCAGAGAGCGAGACCAGAGAGAGACCAGAGAGAGACCAGAGAGAGAAACCAGAGAGAGAGACAAGAGAGAGACCAGAGAGAGACCTGATAAAGACCAGAGCGAGACCTGAGAGAGACCAGAGAGAGAGACCAGAGAGAGACCAGAGAAAGACCAGAGAAAGACCAGAGAGAGACCAGAGAGAGACCAGAGAGAGACCAGAGAGAGAGACCAGAGAGAGAAACCAGAGAGAGAGACAAGAGAGAGACCAGAGAGAGACCTGATAAAGACCAGAGCGAGACCTGAGAGAGACCAGAGAAAGACCAGAGAGAGAGACCAGAGAGAGAGACCAGAGAGAGACCAGAGAGCGAGACCAGAGAGAGACCAGAGAGAGACCAGAGAGAGACCAGAGAGAGAGACCAGAGAGAGACCAGAGAGACCAGAGAGAGACCAGAGAGAGAGAGACCGGAGAGAGACCAGAGAGAGACCAGAGAGAGACCAGAGAGAGACCAGAGAGAGACCAGAGAGAGAGACCAGAGAGAGAGACCAGAGAGAGACCAGAGAGAGACCAGAGATTACCTCCAAACCCAGGTCGCAGCCTGTTGTCGTATCCGTCTAGAAGTCGATCCAAAATGAGGGTAATGTTCTCGGGGTAGAGCCGCTCCTCCTTTGCATGAATAGAGATCTTCCTCACACTATCAGGAAATAAATGTGATAATCCTGACAAGAGAGGGACCAGAGAGAGACCAGAGAGAGACCAGAGAGAGACCAGAGAGAAACCCAAGAGAGACCAGAGAGAGACCAGAGAGAGACCTGAGAGACCAGAGAGAGACCAGAGAGAGACCAGAGAGAGACCAGAGAGAAACCAGAGAGAAACCCGAGAGAGAGACCAGAGAGAGACCAGAGAGAGACCAGAGAGAGAGACCAGAGAGAGACCAGAGAGAGACCAGAGAGAGACCAGAGAGAGACCAGAGAGTGAGACCAGAGAGAGACCAGAGAGAAACCCGAGAGAGAGACCAGAGAGAGAGACCAGAGAGAGAGACCAGAGAGAGAGACCAGAGAGAGACCAGAGAGAGACCAGAGAGAGAGACCAGAGAGTGAGACCAGAGAGAGACCAGAGAGAAACCCGAGAGAGAGACCAGAGAGAGAGACCAGAGAGAGAGACCAGAGAGTGAGACCAGAGAGAGACCAGAGAGAAACCCGAGAGAGAGACCAGAGAGAGAGACCAGAGAGACAGACCAGAAAGACCAGAGAGAGACCAGAGAGACAGACCAGAGAGACCAGAGAGAGACCAGAGAGAGACCAGAGAGAGACCAGAGAGAAACCCGAGAGAGAGACCAGAGAGAGAGACCAGAGAGACAGACCAGAAAGACCAGAGAGAGACCAGAGAGAGACCAGAGAGAGACCAGAGAGCGAGACCAGAGAGAGACCAGAGAGAGAGACCAGAGAGACAGACCAGAAAGACCAGAGAGAGACCAGAGAGACAGACCAGAGAGACCAGAGAGAGACCAGAGAGAGACCAGAGAGAGACCAGAGAGAAACCCGAGAGAGAGACCAGAGAGAGAGACCAGAGAGACAGACCAGAAAGACCAGAGAGAGACCTGAGAGAGACAGACCAGAAAGACCAGAGAGAGAGAGACCAGAGAGAGAGACCAGAGAGAAACCCGAGAGAGAGACCAGAGAGAGAGACCAGAGAGACAGACCAGAAAGACCAGAGAGAGACCTGAGAGAGACTCTCCAGTGCTTGGTTCTCACCGTACGCAGAGCAGACACAGAGCACACAGCAGGACTCCTTTCCTCCACATCCTGCATCACAGCTGCTTCACCATCCTCTTCATCATACACACCACTGCTCTTCCTCATCCAGGGTTAACCACTGCTGGAGCCCGGAGCACCAGGAGGATTTCCTCTTCTGTCCTTACAGATGTAAAACAGCTTGAATCGAGGACTTTTGTTGAGTTAGTTATGGTTTTTCTGTTTGACCAGTTTTTCTTTGAATATGTAAGTGCACAGAGACAGAGAGACAGAGACACAGAGACACAGAGACACAGAGACACAGAGACACAGAGACACAGAGAGACAGAGAGACAGAGACACAGAGAGACAGAGACACAGAGACACAGAGACACAGAGACAGAGACAGACAGAGACAGAGACAGAGACAGAGACAGACAGAGGACAGACAGAGACAGAGACAGAGGCAGAGGCAGAGACAGACAGAGGACAGACAGAGACAGAGGCAGAGGCAGAGGCAGAGACAGACAGAGGACAGACAGAGACAGAGACAGAGACAGAGACAGACAGAGGACAGACAGAGACAGAGACAGAGACAGAGGCAGAGACAGAGACAGACAGAGGACAGACAGAGACAGAGACAGAGGCAGAGACAGACAGAGGACAGACAGAGACAGAGACAGAGACAGAGACAGAGGCAGAGACAGAGACAGAGACAGAGACAGAGACAGAGGCAGAGACAGAGGCAGAGACAGACAGAGGACAGACAGAGACAGAGACAGAGACAGAGACAGAGACAGAGGCAGAGACAGACAGAGGACAGACAGAGACAGAGGCAGAGGCAGAGACAGACAGAGGACAGACAGAGACAGAGACAGAGACAGACAGAGGACAGACAGAGACAGAGGCAGAGGCAGAGGCAGAGACAGAGGCAGAGACAGACAGAGGACAGACAGAGGACAGACAGAGACAGAGACAGAGACAGAGACAGAGACAGAGGCAGAGACAGACAGAGGACAGACAGAGGACAGACAGAGACAGAGAGACAGAGACAGAGACAGAGACAGAGACAGACAGAGACAGACAGAGGACAGACAGAGACAGAGACAGAGGACAGAAAGTTCCAGAGGAGCAGTCTCCGTAATCCTCTGTTGGAAAGACGTCCTTTAGAACAGACTGCGGCACAGGTTCAGGTCCACGGCGATAAGTGGAGCATTATGCAGAGTGAGAGGAGGAGGAGTCTGTGAGGAGGAGGAGTCTGTGAGGAGGAGTCTGTGAGGAGGAGTCTGTGAGGAGGAGGAGTCTGTGGGGAGGAGGAGTCTGTGAGGAGGAGGAGTCTGTGAGGAGGAGAAGTCTGTGAGGAGGAGGAGTCTGTGGGGAGGAGGAGTCTGTGAGGAGGAGGAGTCTGTGAGGAGGAGGAGTCTGTGAGGAGAAGTCTGTGGGGAGGAGGAGTCTGTGAGGAGGAGGAGTCTGTGAGGAGGAGAAGTCTGTGAGGAGGAGGAGTCTGTGGGGAGGAGGAGTCTGTGAGGAGGAGGAGTCTGTGAGGAGGAGAAGTCTGTGAGGAGGAGGAGTCTGTGAGGAGGAGGAGTCTGTGGGGAGGAGGAGTCTGTGAGGAGGAGGAGTCTGTGAGGAGGAGGAGTCTGTGGGGAGGAGGAGTCTGTGAGGAGGAGGAGTCTGTGGGGAGGAGGAGTCTGTGAGGAGGAGGAGTCTGTGAGGAGGAGAAGTCTGTGAGGAGGAGGAGTCTGTGGGGAGGAGGAGTCTGTGCGGAGGAGTAGTCTGTGGGGAGGAGGAGTCTGTGCGGAGGAGTAGTCTGTGGGGAGGAGGAGTCTGTGAGGAGAAGTCTGTGAGGAGGAGGAGTCTGTGGGGAGAAGACTGTGAGGAGAAGTCTGTGCGCGGAGGAGGAGTCTGTGAGGAGGAGGAGTCTGTGAGGAGGAGTCTGTGAGGAGGTGTATGTGAGGAGGTGTATGTGAGGAGGAGTCTGTGAGGAGGTGTATATGAGGAGGAGTCTGTGAGGAGGTGTATGTGAGGAGGAGTCTGTGAGGAGGTGTATGTGAGGAGGAGTCTGTGAGGAGGTGTATGTGAGGAGGAGTCTGTGAGGAGGTGTATGTGAGGAGGTGTATGTGAGGAGGAGTCTGTGAGGAGGTGTATGTGAGGAGGAGTCTGTGAGGAGGTGTATGTAGGAGGTGTGTGAGGAGGTGTGTGAGGAGGTGTGTGAGGAGGTGTATGTGAGGAGGTGTATGTGAGGAGGTGTTGTGGGAGTGAGGTGTATGTGAGGAGGTGTGTGAGAGGTGTATGTGAGGAGGTGTATGTGAGGAGGTGTATGTGAGTGAGGAGTGTAGTGAGGAGAGTGTATGTGAGGAGGTGTATGTGAGGAGGAGTTGTGAGGAGGTGTATGTGAGGAGGGTGTGTGAGTGAGGGTGTCTGTGAGGAGGTGTATGTGAGGAGGAGTTTGTGAGGAGGTGTATGTGAGGAGGTGTATGTGAGGAGGAGTTGTGAGAGGTGTGAGGAGGTGTATGTGAGGAGGTGTATGTGAGGAGGTGTATGTGAGGAGGTGTTGTGAGGAGGTGTATGTGAGGAGGTGTGAAGTATGTGAGGAGGAGTATGTGAGGAGTGAGGAGGTGTATGTGAGGAGGAGTCTGTGAGGAGGAGTTGTGTGTATGTGTGAGGAGGAGTCTGTGAGGAGGTGTATGTGAGGAGGTGTATGTGAGGAGGTGTATGTGAGGAGGTGTATGTGAGGAGGTGTATGTGAGGAGGAGTCTGTGAGGAGGTGTATGTGAGGAGGAGTCTGTGAGGAGGTGTATGTGAGGAGGTGTATGTGAGGAGGAGTCTGTGAGGAGGAGTCTGTGAGGAGGTGTATGTGAGGAGGAGTCTGTGAGGAGGAGTCTGTGAGGAGGTGTATGTGAGGAGGAGTCTGTGAGGAGGTGTATGTGAGGAGGAGTCTGTGAGGAGGTGTATGTGAGGAGGAGTCTGTGAGGAGGTGTATGTGAGGAGGTGTATGTGAGGAGGAGTCTGTGAGGAGGTGTATGTGAGGAGGAGTCTGTGAGGAGGTGTATGTGAGGAGGTGTATGTGAGGAGGTGTATGTGAGGAGGTGTATGTGAGGAGGTGTATGTGAGGAGGTGTATGTGAGGAGGAGTCTGTGAGGAGGTGTATGTGAGGAGGTGTATGTGAGGAGGTGTATGTGAGGAGGTGTATGTGAGGAGGTGTATGTGAGGAGGAGTCTGTGAGGAGGTGTATGTGAGGAGGAGTATGTGAGGAGGAGTCTGTGAGGAGGTGTATGTGAGGAGGTGTATGTGAGGAGGTGTATGTGAGGAGGTGTATGTGAGGAGGTGTATGTGAGGAGGTGTATGTGAGGAGGTGTATGTGAGGAGGTGTATGTGAGGAGGAGTCTGTGAGGAGGTGTATGTGAGGAGGTGTATGTGAGGAGGTGTATGTGAGGAGGTGTATGTGAGGAGGTGTATGTGAGGAGGTGTATGTGAGGAGGAGGTGTCTAAAAGTATAGCCCCTTTACGTCTCTCTGACTCTCCTCCTCTCTTCTCCTCCTCTCCTCCACCCTTATCCTCCTCCCTTCTCCACCTCTCTCCTCCTCTCTCCTCCTTCCTCCTCCCCTCTCTTCCTCTCTCCTCCTCCTCCTTCCTGTCCCAGGTTAACTGTCCTGTCCCAGGTTAACTGCCTTGTCCCAGGTAAACTGTCCTGTCCCAGGTTAACTGCCTTGTCCCAGGTTAACTGTCCTGTCCCAGGTTAACTGCCCTGTCCCAGGTTAACTGTCCTGTCCCAGGTTAACTGTCCTGTCCCAGGTTAACTGTCCTGTCCCAGGTTAACTGCCCTGTCCCAGGTTAACTGCCCTGTCCCAGGTTAACTGCCCTGTCCCAGGTTAACTGCCCTGTCCCAGGTTAACTGCCCTGTCCCAGGTTAACTGCCCTGTCCCAGGTTAACTGTCCTGTCCCAGGTTAACTGTCCTGTCCCAGGTTAACTGCCCTGTCCCAGGTTAACTGTCCTGTCCCAGTCCCTGTTAACTGTCCTGTCCCAGGTAAACTGTCCTGTCCCAGGTTAACTGTCCTGTCCCAGGTTAACTGCCCTGTCCCAGGTTAACTGTCCTGTCCCAGGTTAACTGTCCTGTCCCAGGTTAACTGCCCTGTCCCAGGTTAACTGTCCTGTCCCAGGTTAACTGTCCTGTCCCAGGTTAACTGTCCTGTCCCAGGTAAACTGCCCTGTCCCAGGTTAACTGTCCTGTCCCAGGTTAACTGTCCTGTCCCAGGTTAACTGCCCTGTCCCAGGTTAACTGCCCTGTCCCAGGTTAACTGTCCTGTCCCAGGTTAACTGTCCTGTCCCAGGTAAACTGCCCTGTCCCAGGTTAATTGTCCTGTCCCAGGTTAACTGTCCTGTCCCAGGTTAACTGCCCTGTCCCAGGTTAACTGCCCTGTCCCAGGTTAACTGTCCTGTCCCAGGTTAACTGCCCTGTCCCAGGTTAACTGTCCTGTCCCAGGTTAACTGTCCTGTCCCAGATAAACTGTCCTGTCCCAGGTTAACTGCCCTGTCCCAGGTTAACTGCCCTGTCCCAGGTTAACTGTCCTGTCCCAGATTAACTGCCCTGTCCCAGATTAACTGCCCTGTCCCAGGTTAACTGTCCTGTCCCAGGTTAACTGTCCTGTCCCAGGTTAACTGGGCCAGGACCAGGGCCTTTCTGAGTGGAGTTTGTCTGCGTAGGTTTCCTCCGGGTACTCCGGTTTCCCCTACCACTAAAAATATGTACAATAGATCTGGCATGCGCCTCCTGTTCTCCTCCTCTCTCTCCTCGCCTCCTCTCTCCACCTCTCCTCCACTCTCCCCCTCTTCTCCTCTCTCCCCCTCTCCTCCTCTCTCTCCCTCTCCTCCTCTCTCCTCCTCTCTCCCCTACCCTCCTCGCCTCCTCTCTCCCCCTCTCCTCCTCTCTCCTCCTCTCTCCTCCTCTCTCCCCTACCCTCCTCGCCTCCTCTCTCCACCTCTCCTCCACTCTCCCCCTCTTCTCCTCTCTCCCCCTCTCCTCCTCTCTCTCCCTCTCCTCCTCTCTCCTCCTCTCTCCCCTACCCTCCTCGCCTCCTCTCTCCCCCTCTCCTCCTCTCTCCTCCTCTCTCCTCCTCTCTCCCCTACCCTCCTCGCCTCCTCTCTCCCCCTCTCCTCCTCTCTCCTCCTCTCTCCTCCTCTCTCCCCTACCCTCCTCTCTCCTCTCTCCACCTCTCCTCCACTCTCCCCCTCCCCTCCTCCCCTATCCTCTCCTCCTCTCCTCCTCTCTCTCCCCTCCACTCCTCTCCTCCTCTTTCCCCCTCTCCTCCTCTCTCTCCTCTCTCCCCCTCTCCTCCTCTCTCCCCCTCTCCTTCTCTCTCTCCTCTCCTCCTCTCTCCCCCTCCCCTCCCCTCTCCCCCTCTCCTCCTCTCTCCCCCTCTCCTCCTCTCTCCCCCTCTCCTCCTTCCCTCTTCTCTCTCTCCTCTGAAATCAGGTCAGATGTAAAGTTAGTTTCAGAGCAAAGAGAGCGTTTAAAGCTGTAGTGCGGAACTTCTGAGCAGACGGAGAAGGCTGCCCCCTGCAGGGAGCTGAGGGTACTGACCCTGTCTCCTCCTCCCCTCTCTCTCCTCCTCTCTCCTCCTCCCCTCTCCTCATGTCTCCTCCTCCCCTCTCCTCATGTCTACTCCTCCCCTCTCCTTGTCCCTTCTCCTCATATCTCCTCCTCCCCTCTCCTCATGTCTCCTCCTCCCCTCTCCTCCTATCTCCTCCCCCCTCTCCTCATGTCTCCTCCTCCTATCTCCTCATGTCTACTCCTCCCCTCTCCTTGTCCCTTCTCCTCATATCTCCTCCACCCCTCTCCTCATGTCTGCTCCTCCCCTCTCCTCCTATCTCCTCCTTGTCTGCTCCTCCTATCTCCTCCTCCCCTCTCCTCCTCCCTCCTCATGTCTGCTCCTCCCCTCTCCTCATGTCTGCTCCTCCCCTCTCCTCCCCTCTCCTCTAGTCTGCTCCTCCCCTCTCCTCATGTCTGCTCCTCCCCTCTCCTCCCCTCTCCTCTAGTCTGCTCCTCCCCTCTCCTCATGTCTGCTCCTCCCCTCTCCTCATGTCTGCTCCTCCTATCTCCTCCTCCCCTCTCCTCATGTCTGCTCCTCCCCTCTCCTCATGTCTGCTCCTCCCCTCTCCTTGTTTCTCCTCCTAGTCTCTCCTCCTCGCTTCTCCTCTTTACTCATCTCCCCTTCTCCTCCCCTGCATGTGCGTGTACCAAAGATCCCGCGTGTTCTGTCATCACTTTCAGCACCTCCATCACCTCCATCACCTCCATCACCTCCATCACCTCCATCACCTCCATCACCTCCATCACCTTCATCACCTCCATCACCTCCATCTCCTCCATCACCTCCATCTCCTCCAGCACCTCCATCTCCTCCATCTCCTCCATCTCCTCCATCACCTCCATCACCTCCATCACCTCCATCACCTCCATCACCTCCATCACCTCCATCTCCTCCATCTCCTCCATCTCCTCCATCCCTCCATCACCTCCATCACCTCCATCACCTCCATCACCTCCATCACCTTCATCACCTCCATCACCTTCATCACCTCCATCACCTACATCTCCTCCATCTCCTCCATCACCTCCATCTCCTCCAGCACCTCCATCTCCTCCATCACCTTCATCACCTCCATCACCTCCATCTCCTCCATCACCTCCATCACCTCCATCTCCTCCATCTCCTCCATCACCTCCATCTCCTCCATCTCCTCCATCACCTCCATCTCCTCCATCACCTCCATCTCCTCCATCTCCTCCATCACCTCCATCACCTCCATCACCTCCATCACCTCCATCTCCTCCATCTCCTCCATCACCTCCATCACCTCCATCACCTCCATCACCTCCATCTCCTCCATCTCCTCCATCACCTCCATCTCCTCCACCACCTCCACCACCTCCAGCACCTCCATCACCTCCAGCACCTCCATCACCTTCATCACCTCCATCACCTCCATCTCCTCCATCTCCTCCATCACCTCCATCTCCTCCAGCACCTCCATCTCCTCCATCTCCTCCATCACCTCCATCACCTCCATCACCTCCATCTCCTCCATCTCCTCCATCACCTCCATCTCCTCCACCACCTCCACCACCTCCAGCACCTCCATCACCTCCAGCACCTGCAGCACCTCCAGCACCTGCAGCACCTCCATCACCTCCAGCACCTGCAGCACCTCCATCACCTCCAGCACCTCCAGCACCTGCAGCACCTCCATCACCTCCAGCACCTGCAGCACCTCCATCACCTCCATCACCTCCAGCACCTCCAGCACCTCCAGCACCTCCATCACCTCCAGCACCTCCACCACCTCCAGCACCTCCAGCACCTCCAGCACCTTCAGCACCTCTAGCACCTCCAGCACCTCCAGCACCTCCAGTACCTCCATCACCTTCATCACCTCCAGCACCTCCAGCACCTCCACCACCTCCACCACCTCCAGCACCTCCATCACCTCCAGCACCTCCAGCACCTCCAGCACCTCCAGCACCTCCATCACCTCCAGCACCTCCATCACCTCCACCACCTCCAGCACCTCCATCACCTATCACCTCCAGCACCTCCAGCACCTGCAGCACCTCCATCACCTCCAGCACCTCCAGCACCTCCATCACCTCCATCACCTCCAGCACCTACAGCACCTCCATCACCTCCAGCACCTCCAGCACCTGCAGCACCTCCATCACCTCCAGCACCTGCAGCACCTCCATCACCTCCAGCACCTCCATCACCTCCAGCACCTCCATCACCTGCAGCACCTGCAGCACCTGCAGCACCTGCAGCACCTCCATCACCTCCAGCACCTCCAGCACCTCCAGCACCTCCAGCACCTCCAGCACCTGCAGCACATTGGTTTTATACAGTTCTTTTCAGGACACTCAAAGTCTCTTCACATCATTCTTCTCTCTCTCCAAACACAGTGGTGTTTAACTACTGCAGCCACAGCTGCCCTGGGGCACACTGACAGACGCGAGGGAACCAGTCTGTGCCAACCATTCACACACACACCAGACTCATTCTAATGTGGGGGAAGTGCCTTGCCCAAGGACACAACGACAGCAGACATCAGTGGGAGGCTGGGAGAAAGTCTTGTGGTGGACTCAAACCCACAACCTTCAGGCTCAAAGGCCAACGCTCTGAGACTGGGCCACTTCCACATTGGAAAGAACACAGTCTCTTCATCAGATATATGTACTCTTCATCAGATAAAAGTACTCTTCATCATATAAAAGTACTCTTCATCAGATATATGTACTCTTCATCAGATAAAAGTACTCTTCATCATATAAAAGTACTCTTCATCAGATATATGTACTCTTCATCAGATAAAAGTACTCTTCATCATATAAAAGTACTCTTCATCAGATATATGTACTCTTCATCAGATAAAAGTACTCTTCATCAGATATATGTACTCTTCATCAGATAAAAGTACTCTTCATCAGATATATGTACTCTTCATCCGATATATGTACTCTTCATCCGATATATGTACTCTTCATCAGATATATGTACTCTTCATCAGATAAAAGTACTCTTCATCATATAAAAGTACTCTTCATCAGATATATGTACTCTTCATCAGATAAAAGTACTCTTCATCATATAAAAGTACTCTTCATCAGATATATGTACTCTTCATCAGATAAAAGTACTCTTCATCATATAAAAGTACTCTTCATCAGATATATGTACTCTTCATCAGATAAAAGTACTCTTCATCAGATATATGTACTCTTCATCAGATAAAAGTACTCTTCATCAGATATATGTACTCTTCATCCGATATATGTACTCTTCATCCGATATATGTACTCTTCATCCGATATATGTACTCTTCATCAGATATATGTACTCTTCATCAGATAAAAGTACTCTTCATCAGATATATGTACTCTTCATCCGATATATGTACTCTTCATCAGATAAAAGTACTCTTCATCAGATAAAAGTACTCTTCATCAGATATATGTACTCTTCATCAGATAAAAGTACTCTTCATCAGATATATGTACTCTTCATCCGATATATGTACTCTTCATCAGATAAAAGTACTCTTCATCATATAAAAGTACTCTTCATCAGATGTATGTACTCTTCATCAGATATATGTACTCTTCATCAGATAAAAGTACTCTTCATCATATAAAAGTACTCTTCATCAGATATATGTACGCTTCATCAGATAAAAGTACTCTTCATCAGATATATGTACTCTTCATCAGATATATGTACTCTTCATCAGATATATGTACTCTTCATCCGATATATGTACTCTTCATCAGATATATGTACTCTTCATCCGATATATGTACTCTTCATCAGATATATGTACTCTTCATCCGATATATGTACTCTTCATCCGATATATGTACTCTTCATCAGATATATGTACTCTTCATCAGATATATGTACTCTTCATCAGATATATGTACTCTTCATCAGATATATGTACTCTTCATCAGATATATGTACTCTTCATCAGATAAAAGTACTCTTCATCATATAAAAGTACTCTTCATCAGATATATGTACTCTTCATCAGATAAAAGTACTCTTCATCATATAAAAGTACTCTTCATCCGATATATGTACTCTTCATCAGATAAAAGTACTCTTCATCATATAAAAGTACTCTTCATCCGATATATGTACTCTTCATCAGATAAAAGTACTCTTCATCATATAAAAGTACTCTTCATCAGATATATGTACTCTTCATCAGATAAAAGTACTCTTCATCAGATATATGTACTCTTCATCAGATATATGTACTCTTCATCATATAAAAGTACTCTTCATCAGATGTATGTACTCTTCATCAAATAAAAGTACTCTTCATCATATAAAAGTACTCTTCATCAGATATATGTACTCTTCATCAGATATATGTACTCTTCATCAGATATATGTACTCTTCATCAGATATATGTACTCTTCATCAGATATATGTACTCTTCATCAGATATATGTACTCTTCATCATTTACACCACAGATATATGTACTCTTCATCATGGTCTTCATCAGACTCTTCAGTCGCATACTCCACAGAAGTAACACAGCAGTAGTATCCTGTATACTCCACAGAAGTAACACAGCAGTAGTATCCTGTATACTCCACAGAAGTAACACAGCAGTAGTATCCTGTATACTCCACAGATGCAACACAGCAGTAGTATCCTGTATACTCCACAGAAGCAACACAGCAGTAGTATCCTGTATACTCCACATACAGAAGTAACACAGCAGTAGTATCCTGTATACTCCACATACAGAAGTAACACAGCAGTAGAATCCTGTATACTCCACATACAGAAGTAACACAGCAGTAGTATCCTGTATACTCTACATACAGAAGTAACACAGCAGTAGTATCCTGTATACTCAACATACAGAAGTAACACAGCAGTAGTATCCTGTATAATCCACATACAGAAGTAACACAGCAGTAGTATCCTGTATACTCCACAGAAGCAACACAGCAGTAGTATCATGTATACTCCACAGAAGAAACACAGCAGTAGTATCCTGTATACTCCACAGAAGTAACACAGCAGTAGTATCCTGTATACTCCACAGAAGTAACACAGCAGTAGTATCCTGTATACTCCACAGAAGCAACACAGCAGTAGTATCCTGTATACTCCACAGAAGCAACACAGCAGTAGTATCCTGTATACTCCACGGAAGTAACACAGCAGTAGTATCCTGTATACTCCACAGAAGCAACACAGCAGTGGTATCCTGTATACTCCACAGAAGCAACACAGCAGTAGTATCCTGTATACTCCACAGAAGCAAACCAGCAGTAGTATCCTGTATACTCCACAGAAGTAACACAGCAGTAGTATCCTGTATACTCCACAGAAGCAACACAGCAGTAGTATCCTGTATACTCCACAGAAGCAACACAGCAGTAGTATCCTGTATACTCCACAGAAGCAACACAGCAGTAGTATCCTGTATACTCCACAGAAGCAACACAGCAGTAGTATCCTGTATACTCCACAGAAGTATCACAGCAGTAGTATCCTGTATACTCCACAGAAGCAACACAGCAGTAGTATCCTGTATACTCCACAGAAGCAACACAGCAGTAGTATCCTGTATACTCCACAGAAGCAACACAGCAGTAGTATCCTGTATACTCCACATACAGAAGTAACACAGCAGTAGTATCCTGTATACTCCACAGAAGTAACACAGCAGTAATATCCTGTATACTCCACAGAAGCAACACAGCAGTAGTATCCTGTATACTCCACATACAGAAGTAACACAGCAGTAGTATCCTGTATACTCCACAGAAGTAACACAGCAGTAATATCCTGTATACTCCACAGAAGCAACACAGCAGTAGTATCCTGTATACTCCACATACAGAAGTAACACAGCAGTAGTATCCTGTATACTCCACAGAAGTAACACAGCAGTAATATCCTGTATACTCCACAGAAGTAACACAGCAGTAGTATCCTGTATACTCCACATACAGAAGTAACACAGCAGTAGTATCCTGTATACTCCACATACAGAAGTAACACAGCAGTAGTATCCTGTATACTCCACAGAAGCAACACAGCAGTAGTATCCTGTATACTCCACAAAAGTAACACAGCAGTAGTATTCCTGTATACTCCACAGAAGCAACACAGCAGTAGTATCCTGTATACTCCACAGAAGCAACACAGCAGTAGTATCCTGTATACTCCACAGAAGCAACACAGCAGTAGTATCCTGTATACTCCACAGAAGCAACACAGCAGTAGTATCCTGTATACTCCACAGAAGCAACACAGCAGTAGTATCCTGTATACTCCACAGAAGTAACACAGCAGTAGTATCCTGTATACTCCACATACAGAAGTAACACATCAGTAGTATCCTGTATACTCCACATACAGAAGTAACACAGCAGTAGTATCCTGTATACTCCACAGAAGCAACACAGCAGTAGTATCCTGTATACTCCACAGAAGCAACACAGCAGTAGTATCCTGTATACTCCACAGAAGCAACACAGCAGTAGTATCCTGTATACTCCACAGAAGGCAACACAGCAGTAGTATCCTGTATACTCCACAAAAGTAACACAGCAGTAGTATCCTGTATACTCCACAGAAGCAACACAGCAGTAGTATCCTGTATACTCCACAGAAGCAACACAGCAGTAGTATCCTGTATACTCCACAGAAGCAACACAGCAGTAGTATCCTGTATACTCCACGGAAGTAACACAGCAGTAGTATCCTGTATACTCCACAGAAGCAACACAGCAGTGGTATCCTGTATACTCCACAGAAGCAACACAGCAGTAGTATCCTGTATACTCCACAGAAGTAACACATCAGTAGTATCCTGTATACTCCACATACAGAAGTAACACAGCAGTGGTATCCTGTATACTCCACAGAAGCAACACAGCAGTAGTATCCTGTATACTCCACAGAAGCAACACAGCAGTGGTATCCTGTATACTCCACAGAAGCAACACAGCAGTAGTATCCTGTATACTCCACAGAAGTAACACAGCAGTAGTATC